GAGGCACCGAATCCCTGTTGGGGATGGGGAATCCCCAAATTTTCCCCACCTTGAGGCAACCTCCTAAAAAAATCTAATTTATTGATATTTTACAAATAGGATTATGGGAATTTGGGGGTATTTTAAGAATTGGATTGTGACAATTTGGGAGTATTTTATAAATGAAATCATGGGATCCTAGGATAGTAAAAATATGAGGGAAACTTACACATATTTCAAAGATCAATATTAAATCTACAGATATTTTACTAATTTACCATCGGGCTCAAGGAATTATATGCAAACCCCATCCATAATTTGGGGCAAAAATATTTTCTGTGTCCTTCACCCCATCTCTACCCCGTCCCCTTTTAAGATTTGAGAAAATTTACCCCATTCGAGGTGGGGCAGAGTAGGGCTCCAGTTTTATAGGGAAAATTGCCATCCCTATAATTCTAATAATTTTCTATAACTAATTAACTAATAGTAAATTAAATAACAATAAATTAAAATGTTTTATGATAATTTCCAAAAAAATATTGAAAATTATTGTTGATTAGTAGTAATGTATAGTAAATTATTTACAATACATTAAGCCTAAATTATTTATTATTAATCAAAGTAAATATAATTATCGTAAATTACATTGTTTTTAATTAAAAGTAAACCATTTGTTGTTAATTACTGTAAAACCAGGTATGATTGAAGTCAACCAAGTGGTCTAGATCAGTTTGGATAGACTTAATAATTTCCTAAATTATTTAATAATTATTTATTGAAATAATAATAATAATGGATTGTTATTTAAATAATTATGGAATAATTTCTGATAGATTAATTTCCGAATTTAATTTTCCTAAATTGTATAATAATTATTTAGTTAAATAATAATGGATTATTATTTAAACAGTTTTGGAGAATTTTTCATATATTAATTTCTTAATTTTTTAATTACTTATTAATAAAATAATTATGGATTATTAGTTAAAGAGTTTCCCTAAATTATTTGATAATTGTTACCTACAATTATTGATTTTATAGAAATTAGTAAATTACATTAATTAGTAATATCTTTTATCAATAAATTATTATTGTAAAAATTTAATGAAAGTTTATTAAATTACAATGATTAATGTAAAATACACTAAACGTTGAAATTCTAAACATTAGTAATAACACAAAATTATTAAATAATGGATTGTTTATTAATTTTTGGTAGATTATTAAATTATTTAACATTTGTTAAATAATGGATTATTTCTGAAATAACTATTTCATAATTTTTGGTAGAATATTTTCCAAAATTTTTTAATAATTTTCATAATTGATGGATTATTTAAAAATAGATTATTATTTAAGAATATATTATTTAACAATAATGGAAGATGCCATGAATATATAGGAAACATCGAGTTCCCCTTATTTCCCTCTCTTTTCTTGAAATCACATTTATAGATATAAATATTGTTTGATTTGGAAAACCAAATCTTAATAAATTATGGCCCTATTTTTTATGGGAGAGTGGAGAGAATAGAAGTGAAGAGGAGGACAAAACATATATTGAGCTAATTAAGGAGAGAAGTTAGGTTGTTATAAAAAGTGAGAGACATGAGTTCGGGGGGG